GCAGCATAAAAAGTAAGGTTGTAAAGGTGCTTTGTTGTTTGCAGTCCAGCGCTCTCCTCTGCCATTATTATGGGTTGCAGGGGGAGACCATTATGTTTACATCTTGCCACAAAGTTATGAGCCAATCACAATAAGGCTGGTGAGTGTAGTTCACTATGCCATCAGCATAATCTGAATGGATTTCCAAAACTTTACAGGAACCACCAGGAAATATCAGGAAGAACTAAAAACCTTTAAACTTTAATGGCAAAACTGTAAAATAAGAAACAGAAGCATAAGTAAAATAACATTTTATTCATATAGATAAATATAACAAAGTGCTTCACAATCATAGTGCTAAAAAAACCAAACAAGTTTAAAAGGAGATTTCTGCTGCTTTTCAAAACAGATCACTCCCAGCACCCTCCCCCATCACCAGTCCTTCACTACATCCATGAATCTCCGAGGTCTTCCTCTGTTTCTTTTCTTCACGTCTCGTCTGCTCTGTCTATTTGGAAGGTCGAGCCCAAACATTTAAACTCATCCACCTTCACAATCTCTACTCCTTTCATCTTCTGCCCGCACTCCCTTCACTGAACACAAAACTAGCAGGACTATTATTATCCACCTCGAGGTTTTTAACCCACATGTGTGCGCAATTGTTCCTTTTATGAAATCCTGAAGTAACTACTGACACGAAATGGATGAAACCACACAGGGAACCTGATCCTAGGTGTGATCTTTTGGTTTCATTTTTCTGATTCATGAAACTCATTCTGTGTTTTCCCGTCCAGGCCAGACTGAAACTGGATAAGCAGCATTTTCAAAAGTCTCTGATTTGGGCTTGCAATAAGACTGGAGTAGTGTGGCATAAATACACTTATAAATACATCAAAAGTCACACAAACTTTGGTGTACTTTGAATATCCTAGACCAGCTGAAGTCGTCCACCACCAAAACCAGGCCCTGAGAAAGGAACAGAAAATAAATTAACAGATTTTTCTATCTTCAGGTGGACAAAATACACAGATTAATCTATTTCTAATACCTATATTCAAAATGTAAAGGCACTAAGATGTTGCTGTGTCACATACACAAGAGACAGAAACACATACACGTCGTTTAAACATATATAAACCTGAAAAAAGCTTCTTCTGTCGATCAACTCACATCATGTGTGAACTACAGCTGCTGCAGAGCTGTTAGAAGAACTGCAGCAGCCACTATGAGACCTGCAGTCCGGCCAGGTAAACTCCACACTGCTGCACCTGGAGAAGCAGAAAGACACAGTCTGTATCCACAAAGCTCTTCCTGTTTCCTGTTTTCTGACTCAACATGTTGAAAACAGGGCATTATGAACTTTTAACCTACCTTTGCTTAAAGTATAAGTGGCGTTCAGAGTCGTATTTGAAGTGGGGTTGTGGCACAGACAGGTAATGGCTCGGTAATGATCTGCAGGGATGTGGAGAGTGCTGCTGGAGGTGTACAAATAGTTTTCAGGATCCTGCTCTGTCTTAGTGTGGACATGCTTCGACTCAACCAAGGATTCAGAGTGGTTGTAGTGGATGGTCCAGCGTATCTCAGGAGCTGGAAATACACCATGCAGCGTGCACACTGAAGTCATTGTTTTAGTGTTTACAGCCAGCTTGAGGTGCTTGTAAGGCACTGAGGAGAGAGGGGAAGAATGTTAAAGTCAATTTAAAAAAAAGTCCCTTTCATCTTTAAGAATGCTTGTTCGGTTTCGAGTGAGAGTTAGATTAATCAAACTGATACCATCATTCTACCTACTGAGGTTTTGCAGACACGTGATGACATTAACTTGTCTGACATCGAGACTGGTCATGAGGGGAAATGAATAATTCCTGACTGGTTGGTGGTAGTTGCTGGGAAAATGACTGCTAAAGTCACACAGGCCTACCGACCAATCAGTGACCTGAATCTTTCCCTAGCAACCGATCTGTTGCTAGAGAAAAGCGTTTATTCCCCAACCGGCTCCCAAAACCCTCTGTGATCAACTATAGTTTGCATGGTCATGGCTAATAATATCCATCCACTAATACCTTTAAATCAGTAGAAGTAATTTCTTCTGATCGTTAAAGCTAACCATAAACCCAGTTTTATCCAAAGCTAACAGCTAGCCTGTTGTATTCCACAGCTAATAACATATTTCAAAATCAGCTAAATCTCTAATTTTTTTCTTTATTTTATATCTTATATCTTTAGCTAGCAGGTAGTTAGCCAAATGTAAAAAAAAAACAAAAAACGCAAAATTAGTTCGAAGGTTTATGTTAAAATAAATTAACTTTAGAGAATCCCAACTGTAAGGTCACTTTTACTTCATGACCAGGGCTGGGTCAGATAACTCTTACATGTAGTGAGTTAAAAATAAATTACATGGGAAGTTGCGTCTTTAGTTATGCAATCCATTATGATTTAAAATCATGTGCTCTAACTAAAGTGAAATTCACAAAAAGAAAAAAGTTCACATATCTTCTCTTTAATCCCAAACAACTTCTGCATATTTAGTGTGAACTTTGAGTGTTAACTCAAAAAAGCCTTTTTCAGAAATTTCGCTGGTATACTCACTTCTTCATAAAACATAAACATCAGCAAAGCCAACTTCCTCTCTTACCTGTTACATACAAATTTGCATGGCAAACTTTTGAGGTCTGCATCACTGTCTCCGAACCATTAAAAACTGCAGCGTAAGCTTCAAATATCCTCCCATTATCTCCAAGAGTCAAATTCTTGACTAGGACTGAAATATTTCCTTTCGTCATTTCCTGGGTGAAGGCCGCGGTCCTGTTCAGATAAGGGTCTTTTACATGCGTGAACATTGTCTTTCCTTTATTGAAAGAGTACAAAACAGCCTTCCTTTCATCCTGCCAGTAAAAGCGAAGATTTTTCAAGTCTGTTTTAACTGGCACGCTACATCCCAGGAGTGCTGAGTCCATGATGGTTGAGTTGACATTGTACACAAATATGGCTTCAGACACTAAAATGTAAAAAAAAAAAAGGAAAGCAGTTAATGAGTCTCAAACACCGGTATTGGACTTTTCGATGATGCAACAAACAGCCATGTTTAATATGAGTTTCAAACCCAATCCCACAGAAACCAGCTGACTTTGTTTCTTTAATGTAAACACACAGGCTTTGCATAAAAATATATAAAGCTTACCAAACAGGAGAGCAGAAAAAAGTCCAAGCAGAATAGCCATTTTTGTGAGGATGTTTCCTATAAATCGAGATGACAACACTGATTTTAGACGCATGGTGCCCAGGCATGGTGCATCTTCCGCTTCCTCTTATGAGATGCGGTAGACGTCATCGGGACTTCCCCTAAATTCGCTTTGATGACCATTTTAAAGTAATGACGCATGTCTCTAACAGTTCTTTGCTATTTCTGATTCACAAGAACATGGCTGACTTGTTAATAGTTATGCAGGTTTTGCAATGCGTATTATGTGTAATGGAGTATGTGACATTTGTAGGGTCAAAGGTCAAATGGTCACAATTAAACGGAGGTGTGAGGTTAGACAAAAACGTTTGGCACGTCTTCATAAACTGCACAACTTTGCACCGTTTCCCGTCATTTCTTTCATCCTTTGCACATTTTCGAATTATCGAATTTCCCAGAGGAACCCACCCGAGGGATTAATAAGGTTCTATCTTATCTTATTTTGGTGTTATCACGAGGTGCTTCATCGCGTCTTCCACCCACCCTGTGAGCACTGATCTTCGTTCTGTATAGTTTTTGTTGGGATAGATGACTGACAAGCAGTTTCGTGGCCAGACGAAGCCTATTACCTTATTACCTCAGCCCAGGCATAACAGCATCATTTCATAAATACTTCCAATACAAACAAAGGCAGTAGAATTTTAAAGACATAATTTTAAAGATAATAGACATTTTATGAAAGTTTGACCCTGGTTGACCTCCAGAGGAAGATACTTAGAATCCCCGTATGTCATCCCCTACGTGCCTATATGTTGTTAATACAGACAAAGGCAGGAAGAATCATAGGTTTAAGTCTACAGAGCACTTTGACATTAAGATCAATCTGCTGACCTTCAAGACCTCAGTAGATGTAGGCCAAATTTTATTGGACTGTTAACATCACCGCACTCTACCCCAGCGGTCCCCAACCCCCGGGTCACGAACTGGTACCGGGCCACGAGAGTT